GGGTGGGGGGGGGGGGCTCATTGCGAGCGCGTGCCCCAGTTCTTACTTTCGGTGTTTCTGCCTCCTGCTCCTCCTCCCCCACCCGCCACCCGACCCAGGGACCTGTAACGATCGAAACGAGGCAAAACCAAGCGATTTTCCTGTCTCTGCGTCCTGAATGTTAACACTAAACAGCCTTTTTATACGGTTTGATATTTGCCGATCGCCTCTGCTCCCCACCTACTCACTGTCAACCCCAGCCACCCAGTGAGGCGAATGACACAAACGTCTAAGTGTCAAATTCGAGTGTTCTGAATTCCCCATTTCTTTCTCCCTTTGTTCAAATAATCATTGCATCCGCTGTGGAACACAGACACCGTAGAGCACTTCTGAACTCATAACAGATCTCTGAAACGTTCTGACAATTATTGATAGCATGAATTCTACATGAGGTAAAGATCGGTATGGAGGCGCGCTCAAACTAGGTCCAACTACAGATCGTTAACATTGGTCCGAATACCGTGGGATGTGGCGATGTTGCAGGCATTCAACATTTGAGTCTTTTAAAAGGACAAATGAGACCATTATGGTGACAAGCTCACGATGGGCCCGATGGGAGAGCGTTTTTTTTTTTTTTTTTTTTTTTTAATGTTGTTGGATATATATTGGTCTTTGGACATACTGTTTTCTTTTTTTTTAACTACTAGCGTCTTATTAAAGCGAATGGTTCAAATATTTATATTATTAAGTCAGTGGAGTTTCTTTTCACGCATGAGTTTGGTAGCGATGAAACGTGTCCAGTTTGCTATGGTGCACAAACCTCTTTTGAGGAATATTCGTGAAAATTAGAGGCATATCTTTTTGGAATCGGTTTTGGATAAACGGCTTAATAACACTACTCGTATTTTCAATCCAGGAGTAACAAGTTAACAGGATAGAAAAGCATCATGGTTAAAGATAGAAGCAGCTAAAACCATATAAAATTGAATAAAATTTATAAATAGGTTATCTAGAACAGTTATTTAATAATAGCTATAAAAATAAAAATTATTTTTCTCGTCTACCGACCCTCTTTCCATGGAGAATCGCCAACCAACTTGTGAATTTTGACTACCCTTATAATATAGCGAAAATTCACAGAGCAAGTATAAGGACTGTCTCACCATGTTGTGATGATTATGATAATTTAGACAAGGCCTGCGTTGCTCAGATCGAAAAATGTCCCCTTTTCCTAAGCCGTAGTCTGAACGCTGTCAGCCACACCTTAACAATTAGGCTCTATTCCCACAACTTTAGATCGATCTATCACCGCGGGGAGTCTCACCAGATTACCGTCAGATAATCCCCCTTAAGTGTCCGTCCCCGCCCACTACAAGCCGTAAGGGGCAATTAACTTTCGTGTCCGCCCGGCTGACAGCTATTTAGCGTGAACCCCCAGGGAGTTAGGTCGATCCAAAATAGGTCGATCTAATCTATGGAAATGGGGTGTTAGACACATGTCAGGCCCGTAGCCAGCAATTTAAAGGGGGGGTTCTTTTTCTGAAAAAGTGGACCTTTTACCTTATAATCCCTATGTACCAAAGTCAAATTTTACCCAGAGTGGACCTTTTTCCAGCAAAAAGGGAGGTTCTTTCGAACCCCCCGAACCCCCCCCCCCCCC